CGCCGCAACAGTGTGATGTTGAGTACAGTTCCCTATATTCTATTTTGTGTGTTTTGTGTCCCATTTTCTGAGGAAGGCTCATGACACCTTTTTGGTTGTTTAATTTGTCATGTGGGTTGAGTAATCCTTCCCATAGTCTGTTTTCCTTATGTATCGCAATCGAGTCCGTAGCTTATTAGCTCATTGTGGCATCATATTAGACTTTTTGTCATGTCTGAGGTGGCTTATTTCCTGAGCAGCTTATACTAAGTGAGACGAGGTTATTGGATCCGGGATCAGTACGATCGAATTATATGAAGTATAATAAAGAGCAAATACCATTATTTGGTCCATAATGAGGCAATGGTTCTTGTCAGAAGGAGAAACTCAATAATTTGTTGACTCAGCAGTTGGTTATGAATTTCTACACATTTCTTCCATCGTGGAAGCAGTTCAAGAGTTGGAAGAGGAATTATAGGTATCATGAGGTGTGTTGTGAACAACAGATTCGTGAAATTTCGGCTATTGTTATCGGAGGATGATATTATGATCATGTGAATGGTATGGTTCATGGTCTAAATTCAACCAAGGTATGCAACCCTGTATTGGTGCATCATGTAGTGATTGTTACGGTGTTCGTAGGTTGGAAACAGGCATGGTGGAGAATTCTTGATGTTAAAATTGGGCTCTAAAGCTTATTTGCCTAAATAAAGGGGAGAATCTTCAGATTGGCTCGAGCTTATGTGCTCAACTGGGTGTGGTAGCACGGGTAGGTGCACGAGGTGTTAAACAATAATTTTTGGATAACTCTGGAACACTCCTTAGCACGTTCGAGGACGAACGTATATTTAAGTAGGAAAGAATGTAATAACCCAACCGGTCGTTTCGACTTTTAGAACCCCGTTCCCTAAAATAAAACTTCTCATATGTGATTTTAATGATTTATGATTTGTGGGGATGGTTGGTTCGGGATTTGAAAGTGTTTGGGTTGAAACCGGAACACTTGGTTCCTTAAAGCTAGCCTTAAAGTGCTAAGTTTGACTTCGATCAACATTTTGAGAAAACGACCTCAGAATAGAATTTTGACGATTCCAACACCTCCGTATAATGATTTTTGACTTAGGAGCGTGTTCGGAATTATATTTGGAAGTCCACAGTTAAATTAGTCTTGAAATGGCTAAAATAGGAATTAAAGTTTAAAGTTTGACCGGGAAGTTGACTTTTTTGATATCAGAGTCGGAATCCAGTTCTGAAAATTTTTATAGCTCTGTTATGTCATTTATGACTTGTGTGCAAAATTTGAGGTCAATCAGACTTGAATTGATAGGTTTCGGTACATAATGTAGAAGCTGAAAATCTTAAGTTTCATTAAGCTTGAATTGAAGGATGATTCGTGGTTTTAGCGTTGTTTGGTGTGATTTGAGGGTTCGACTAAGTTCGTATAATATTTTGGGACTTGTTGGTATAATTGGTTGAGGTCCCGAGGGGCTCGGGTAAACTTCGGACGATTAACGTATCACTTTTGGCCTTTGGAACACTACTGATAGCTGCTGGTATTTTCTTCTGGTATCCTTATACGCGATCACGTAAGTTGGTCTGCGATCACGTAGAGTAATTTAGGCAGAGGTGGATTTGTTCTACGCGATCGTGTGAATGGGGTTGTGATCGCGTAGGGTAAATTTGGGCAGCTGGGAATTTGTTCACTGTGATCACGTGGATACGTCTGCAATCACGTAGGGTTGGCCAATGTGTATCGCGATCGCGTGTCATTGTTTGCGATCGCGTAAGGGAAACTTGAGAGGAAGCTGGGCCACGCGTTGTGCTACGCGATCGCGTGAAGAGGGATGCGATCGCGTAGTGTCGGAACCTGGTGAATCGCGATCGCGTGGGACTTGATGCGATCGCGTAGGGTTAATGTTTGGGCAGAAAAAAAAATTGTGCTACGCGATCATGTGAGGAAGTTCGCAATCGCGTAGAAGAAATCACTGGGCAGAGAGTTTAAGTTCTGAAAATGGGATAAGTGTTCTTAACGATTTGGAGCTCTGATTTAGGCGCTTTTTGGGAGATTTTCAGAGAAAACAACGAGGTAAGTGTTCTTAACTCAATATTGGTTAAATTACCCGAATTCATCACTATTTTTATCATTTAATTGTTGAATTGAGTTGGAAAAGTTTGAAAACCCTCTTGGATAGATTTGAGGATTTGAGGGCCGAATTGATATCGGAATTTAGTGATTTTGGTATGGGCAGACTCGTGGTTGAGTGGGTGTTCATATTTCGTAGCTTTCGCCAGATTCCGAGATGTGAGTCTCACAGATGAATTTTTAATTAATTTCGGAATTTTTATTGAAAATGTAGTATTTTCTTATAGAATTGATTCCTATAATTTTTAGTGATTGTATCGAATTATTTTTGGCTAGATCTGAGCCAGACAGAGTTGGATAATCGTGAAAAAGGTCTTCTAGTGGATTAAATTGGAGCAAGACGAGGTAAGTCTCTTGTCTAATCTTGTGAGGGAGAAATCACCCCATAGGGATTAAATTGAATAATTATTGCTAATTTCGGGGGCTACGTACGCACGAGGTGACGAGAGTCCGTGCGTAGCTATTATTAATGCTAAAGTCCGGGTAGTTTAGGACTCAAAGCATGAATTACTTGCGTAAATTATATTCTTTATTTAATTAATATTAATTGATATGAATATATTGTGAATTGTTAGATAAAGTTATTAAAGGATGGAAATCTCATATGCTTGATTTTCTATTTAAATTAATTAATTGTCAAAAGAAATTATTTTTCTTCCCGAATTTATCCTATAATAAATATACTCTCCTTCCGGAGGTACATAAAAATGTCCTCATTTCTTGTGGAGAGGGCCGACCGCCTCGGCAGGATAGATGCATCTATAGATCGTACCGCACGTCCCTCGGCAGTGTACACGACACTCTGGATCGAGCCGTACGTCCTCGGCAGAAATCATGCTTAATAATAATAATTACACGATACCTTAATAGTTTATTTCAGCTTGCGAAGCTAATTGATAAATTGAAAATCTTTAAAATTTAATGAATTATTATTCCTGTTTGTTAAGAAATTATTGTTATTCCTGTAAATGAGACTAATTGATAAATTGAAAATTTATTGAAATTAAATTGCAGCTTGTAAAGCTATTTGTTAAATTGGAAGTTTTATTGAAATTTCATGATTTAATTAATAAATTGAAAAATTGTTGCATTTGAAGGATTCTTATTATTTCTGCTAATTGAATAAAATTATTGTTGACTCTGTGAACCATGCTGATTTGAATAATTATAATTTATTCCAATTATTATTATTGACTCATAGTGAGTGTCAAAATAGGCTATCTCGTCTCTACCACTTCGAGATTAGGCTTGATACTTACTGGGTATACGTTGTTTTCGCACTCATACTGCACTTGCTGTATATTTTATTGTGTAGGTACATATATGTATAGCGGCCTTGTGGGCGCAGAGGTATGGTTAATAATTGTGGGGACATGGGTGAATTGCATTCTATATTACGATCCGCAGCTAACAGAGTCTCTTTCAGAGTTATTATATTTTCCTGTCTAATTTGTATTCTGGACAGATGCTGTATTTTATTTTTAATTCCCTAGTAAATGCTCATGCACTTGTGACACCGGGTTTTGGGAATGGTTATGAATTGTTTAGAAATTTAGCTGCAAAAAAAAAATATTTATCAGATACACTATGAGTTTTATCTCTACAATTTTATTAAAGAAATTTTTATTTCAACAATACTAAAATGGGTAATTAAGTTAATTGATTATGGTTGACTTGCCTGACAGTGGTGTCCGGCGCCATCACGGCCTTTTTGGATTTTGGGTCGTGACAGCATAATTCTCTACCACCTCCTTCAATGGAATATCTTCACCTAACATCCACCTTCCACACAAATGATTCACCTCACAATCGTCTCTAGTCCATCCACAACTTCCTTTAGCACATGCATGCCCAACAATTCACTCCCAACCCATAAATCTTATCAATTAATTCATTTTACAATCTCTACAACGGGTATTCATTTAAATTGGGAACTTATGGCTTCCAATCACCATACCATAAGTTCAAATACCTAATTCATACTCATATTCCCATAATATATCCATACATGTAAGTCTAAGGGTGTAGAATTACCTTTTGGAAGAAATCTTGCAAAACCCTCTTTTGAGTTTTTGAAGAAATTTCTTGAAGATCTAAGGATTTCATGGCGGATTGAGTTAGTTGTAGAGTGGAATTGATGGAATGCAACACCAAATTAGTAGGGATTACTCACCTTGAAGATGGGGGGAGTTGGAGGTCTTGAGAGAGTGGAGGAAAACCCCAAAGTTCAGCCAAGAAAAATGAGGTAAAATGAACCCCGAATGAATATATAGCGTTTCGGGCGCCACAGGTGGCGCTGAGGGCTGCCTGTGGCACTGGTTCCAGTAGCTGCAAGAAATCCCATCGCCAGGGACAGCGCTCCGCGCTACCCTGGGCGCTGGCGATGGGAAATGATTTTTTCTGATACGGGAATGGGCATAACTCTCCCATACGGTGTCTGGATTCGACGATTCTTTTTGTTATGGCTCCGTAATTTCAATACGAATCTAATACTTCAATCAAAACTGAATTTGGAGCTCGTTTGCTTAATGTGATACCACATATACTCAAAGAAGCGACGTCGAAATATCCTAGGTTCGATGCCGAAACATAGCAAATCAAGTCCGATTGACCTCAAATTTTGCACACAAGTCATAATGCATATGAAGTTATTCGAGACTTCAAATAGTAGAGAGGAGAGTAATTACTCAAAATGACAAGTCGTGTCGTTACAGGCACGATCCATAGATGCATCTATACTGTCGAGGCGTTCGGCCAGCATTCATAAGAAAGGAGGACATTTTCTTATGAACCTCCGGAATGAGAAAATATTATAAGGTTAACAGATAAGGATGTACAATTTCTATTAATAGTCAAGTAATTTGTACAAAAATTCAAGTATATGAAATTTCAATCTTTTACTAATTTCCTCTAATAATTTACAATATATTTCAGTACTTTAATTAAAGACAGAATACATAGGCGGCCCCATAAACTTGGGCAATATTTTTCACTCAAACACTTCAACTAATAATAGTGCCTATTGAACACTTGAAGTGAATGCAAATTGTGTCAATTAGACACAAATTGCTGACATAGCATAATGTATGTAACACCCCACTGTTGAGGCGCGTGAGAGGCATTATCTTCTGTTTTTCCAATTATTTCTCCTATCTCCTCCTTCCTCCTTTCTATTTCCACCATAGTCGTTGCTTACCACTGTGCAACCACCTCTACATTTCAAATTCAATTTCAGTGACCAAAATATTTACAAACAACACTAAAACATTTTTATTAAAAATCACTTAAACATTCAATAGAAAGAGGGCACCACAAAATTACATTCATCTTCCTCTATTATTCTCCGTCCCAACTCCTGCCATACTCTACCGCATCGCCACAACGGCACCACCGCGAACCCCAAGCCCAAATCTGTCCGCTCTTATACTTCCATCACTTCTAAGTCTCACCTTTTACCTGCACTGCCATGGATTTTGCTCACAAAAATCATCACACAGTCTCAAATAACCTGCCACCACATAAAAAAAGATCCATCAGTTCAACCCAAAACATCGGTATTATTAGATTAAAAAAATAGCACGAAGAAGAAGATGGGTTCTCTCTGAAAATTTGAGCTTTGATTTTTCTTTTTTCTTTTTCTTTTCTATGAGGTCCTGATGGTGAACAATTCTCTTTACAAAATATTGATGAATTCAAATAATCTCTTTTTTATGCGTGAATTTGTATTACTGGTATACTCAGGTTTCTAATCAATGTTGTCAATGGATAATGCATAGAAAAGTATAGAGGTTACTGGAAAATGGGGGAAGAATGAGTTTAAGAGAGAATAAGGGATCTGATATCCCGTCAACTTTTTTCTTTGCTTTTCTAATTTTTTTGATTTTCCCATATTTTTCCTCTTTTACGTGTTCTCTTCTCATTGGTCTGATGTGCCACGTCACGATCAAGTAATTTACACGCATTTTGTTTGCTTGGAGCTGCAAAATTTGTGTCTAATTGACACAATTTGTGTTCACTTCAAGTGTTCAATAGGTATTATCCATAATTTAGGTGTTCAAGTAAAAAATATTGCTTAGTTTAAGGGGTTGCATATGTATTCTGCCTTAATTAAATAAATAATATAATTATTACAAGTAATTCATGATTTGAGTCTTAAACTATCTGGACATAACATAATTAGTAGTTACTCATGGACTCTCATCACCTCGTGCGTACGTAACCCCCACAATTAGCAACAATTATTAATTTAAATCGCCTATAGGGTAAATTCCCTCTTACAAGATTAGATAAGAGACTTACCTTGTCTCAAAGTTCACTTTCCGATCACAACGTCGCGTTAAAGTCTCAATTGGATGCCGAAAAATCTGAAACTATTCAAATGTTATACAAAATAATTAATACATGCTCAATAATTAGAAATTAGACTATTAAATTAATTACCCGACCCAAATTGGTAAAATTTTTAAAATTCACCCTCGGGCCCACATGCCCGGATTTCGGAAAATTTCGGAGGAAATCGTTACCCATAATCTCAAGAACTCAAATATACAGTTTCCATTCAATTCCATAACCATTTTCGTGGTTAAAATCTCATTTTTATCAAAACCTAGGTTTTTCATCTAAACTCTTGATTTACACAATTTACAGGTTATAATCTACCCATAATGTATGTATTTAACTCAAAGTGTGTAGAATTAACTTACCTTCAAGTTGCTAGTTGAAATCGGCTCTCAAAAAGTTCCAAAATCGCCCAAGAATGGAGGAAATATGGGCAAAAATGGCTCAGCCTCGCCCCTTTTAACATTCTGCCCACACAGCATTTTCGGACATGCGGCTCCGCACCTGTGGAAAAATCTTCGCAGGTGCGAGATTTCCCTTCTTGGCATGTCTCCGCACCTGCGTACAAGGGGCCGCTTCTACGCATCCGTAGGTGCCCATAGGAGTTCGTTTATGTGCCAATGCCCGCTTCTGCGCATTTTCCTTCGCACATGCGTGCGCGCAGGTGCGCCCAGAGGCTCCGCTTCTACGGCTTGGGGCTCGCTTCTGCGAGCTCGCACCTGCGGCTGGCCAAGTGCAGGTGCGATTGCAACAGAAGCTGGAAGCTTCAGCTGCTGCGCCAAATTCCAAAATTGGTCTGAGCCTCGTCCGGTTAACACCCGAGGCCCCCGGGGCCCCGCCCGAACATACCAACAAGTTTGAAATCATAAAACGAACTCGCTCGAACCCTCGGAATGTGTAAAACAACATCAAAACTAAGAATCATACCTCAAACCAAATTGGTTCAACTTAGGAATTTTAAATTCTTCAAACTTACTCCGAACGCGCCGAAACATACTTAAACTACTCGAAATGATATCAAATTTTGCGTGCAAGTTTTAAATCACCATACGAAACTATTCTCAGGCTCGTAATTCCAAACTGACCTCGATTACTCCAAAACCTACTCCAAACCAAATTTAAAGAACCTTAAAACCTTCAAATAGTTAGGTTTCACTATTAAGCACCAGAACGCTCCCGGGTTGTCTAAAATCCGATTTGAACATACGCCCAAGCCAAAATTATAATACGAACCTATTGGAACCGTCAAATCCCGATTTCGGGGTCGTTTTCTATAAATGTTGTCCGAAGTCAAACTTGACCTTTTTAAAGCTAAATTAAGGAACTAAGTGTTTCGATTTCAACCTGAACACTTCCAAATCCCGAACCAACCATCCCCGCAAGTTATTAAACAGTAAAAATACATACGGAAAGTTTTATTTAGGGGAACGAGGTTCAAAAAGGAAAAATAACCCGTTGGGTCCTTACAGGTTCAAACATGTCTTTGAGTCGGAAGGTCTTTCGAAAATAGTATCTCTACCATCACAAAGTAGGTTAAGATCCACGTACACTCTGCCCTCTCCAGACCTCACTTTTATGAGATTATACTGAGTTTTAGGGGCGAATTTACAGAGAGAGGTATGGGTTCACGTTAATTCATGCTCCCGTCCCTAGAATGCGCATATCACTGTAATTCTTCTGGTATAATGATTAAATTGGATCTGGGTGAACCAATGCACGAGACGCCACTTTGGTTCATTGGAGGTTGTGTGCCCTTGTGATTGTGTAGGTTAGGGTTCGAATCCCCTATCTTCTACTTCCCTTTATATTTTCTGTCTTTTCTTTTTTCTGTTTCTTGTCTTCCCTTTCGTTCTTTTATTTTTATGTTTCATTTTGTAGTTTTTCTTTTATTGCTTTATCTTTTCTTTATTTTATGTTTATTCTTTTCTCCTTTTTTCTTTCTTTTTTGGTTCATTCTTGAGTTTTAAAATTTCTAAAAAAATAAAATTCACATTTCCTCCTTACCTCTCTTTCTATCTCAATTTTCTTGCGAACAACGGTCATCCTCTAACTAATTTCTTTATTATTTCTCTCATTTATATTTTTCTTCGATTTGTGAAGTGAGTTTTCTCCAAATAACGATGCTATTATTAATCACTTTTAAGGTATAAAATTTGTTAAGAACAATTGTAAAGTGAATGATATTTCCTTGTGATAATAGTATTAACCATGGTTTGCTTGATAAGTTGTTATCATAGCAAAATTTTGATGGAGTCAAGCTAGACGGTAGTATAGTGCACACATACTCTTAAAATTCTAAATACGTCTCTGCTGGGTTTGTTATTGTGGGTGTACATAGGCCGAGTTGGTTAGGATTTTTCAATTACCATACCAACCCAATTGTCTCGAATTTTTAAATCTATAAACTAAACCAAACCAACAAAAATCGGGTTTTCAATCGCAATTTTTCTCGGGTTTTTCGGATTTTTTTCCCGACAAAATCTTCATAGTATAATTGTTTTAATTTGTGCTCTAATATCTCTTAGGTCCTAGTAGGATAAAACTATATAAGATGTTACCCAATAAAATAACACAAAATAATGTAAGATGGGTCATGATTATACTAAAATACTCAACAAATCGCATAAGATAAATATTGCTAATTAATAAGCCATAATAAAAATAAACATAATCTAAAAGTACTAAGTCATGTTAAAATAAGTACGACTAATAAGTTTTAAGTATTAATTACATGACTAAATAATATTAAAAGTAAGTTATGCATTTTCGCTATCTAAACCAATGCAAAACTAAAAATAAAAATATCCATTACCATTGGCATTCCTAGTATTGAATTGAATTTTTTTTCGTTAGCATTAGTATTGATTTGATTTTGTTTTGGGCTTTATTTGAGTTACTAACTTTTATGAGTTATAAAACATATTTGACCATTCAAAAGTTCTAAGTCCAAACTTGAAATAATACATTAAAAGAGAGAACTATTAGAGTTTAAAAAATATTTATAAATTACATTACAATAATTATTTTTATGTATAAAATATTTTTAAAACTTGTATTCATGCAATGTCGGGTTGGTTTGGTTTCGGTTTGATTTTTTTTAGTTAAAACTAAACCAAGCCAATTATGGTTGGGTTTTTTTTCTAATACCAAACCAAATCAAACTAAACCATAGTCGGATTTTTTTTCTCGATTTGGTGCGATTGGTCAGTTTCCTTTGTACACCTCTAATTGTTGGGTCCAAACATGTAATGTCATTAAGGATGAAGTTGGTATGCTAATTTTAAATAATTTTTAAATAAGAAAATGCATCATTATATATTTTTTAAAAAGTGTATCACATAACAAGTGATGGCGGGACAACAACAGCCCAGTACAATCTCACCAGTGGGTTTGGGGAGGGTAGTGTGTACGCAGACATTACCCCTATCCTGGGGTAGAGAGACTATTTCCGATAGACCCTCGGCATTCCTCCATTCAAGAACTTCTCATCTTGCTCTTGAGGTGACTCGAACTCACAACCTCTTGGTTGGGAGTGGAGGGTACTCACCACTAGAGCAACCCAGGCGGGAGTACTAGAATATTCAGACCGTGGCCACAACAAATACGGCAAAGAATGTGAAATATCACTATCCAAAAGCAAGTCAAACGTTTTACGAAGAATGACAATTTCATTCTGCAAATAATAGGGCAATAACGTTGTCATCGTTAGTTGTATGAAATGACAGTCCACTCTGAAATTTCCTTTCCAGTTTCACTCGTTTGGCATAGATGGATCATAGCCCTGTTAATTCATTCTAAGGTACGGGTTCGAAAGAATTATTTTAAGTAATTCATTTAATATGTATGAATTACTAATTTAGAATTCAATAATTCAAAAGGTCTAAAATCCAGAGTCATAAACTTTAAATCATCGATTCAGAGGCAGGCCAATGTTAAAAAGAGAGGGGTCACTAACAGTTCGACAAAAATTTCATGTATACATGTATATGCCTTTTAAAAATTAGTGATATATTAATAGTGACACTATATATAAAGCTGATTGAATGAAAAAATACACCTGTGTGTCTGATGGTCCTTGCCTTGTGCTACATGCAATTTTTTCCCATGTAACTTCCAGTATAGTTGTCTCCTTTGTTGCTTTAATTTTGATGCTATTTTCTTCAGATTTAAGTCAGAAAACTTCATACAAACTGGTTGACTTGCTTGCTTATTGATCATTGGAAAATAATGAAGATTTGATAACCAATTCTTATAAGTTCTTCCAAATGAAATTCAATAATGCCACCTTAGACTTTAACATAGAAGATTTCAAAGATATGTATCAGTTCTTGTAAGATTTTGTGGATACAAATCTCCTACATTTGTAAACAAGTACAACTACAATAATAGCATTTAACTTGTTGTATAGTAAGTTGCTGCCTATTTTAGAATATTCTTGGAAAATAGCTCTAGGAAGATTCATGTATACTCAAACCTGCATCATGACT